ATGGACACACGTCGTGGACGGGCTGTGGGGATGGACCCGGGGACAGGGGACGTGGAGAAGGGACAGGAGGGAGGGGGGGACCCGGGTACAGGGACCTTGGGGACAGACACACAGGCCATGGGGACAGAAACACGGACCTTGGGGACAGACATAAGGGTCATGGGGACAGACAGACCATGGGGACAGACACACGGACCTTGGGGACAGACAGACGGGCCATGGAGACAGACAGACCATGGGGACAGACACATGGACCTTGGGGACAGACGGACCATGGGGACAGAAACACGGACCTTGGGGACAGACATAAGGGTCATGGGGACAGAAACATGGACCTTGGGAACAGACGGACCATGGGGACAGACACACGGACCTTGGGGACAGACAGATGGACCATGGGGACAGACACATGGGCCATGGGGACAGAAACATGGACCTTGGGGACATACATAAGGGTCATGGGGACAGACAGACCTTGGGGACAGACAGACGGACCTTGGGGACAGACACACGGACCATGGGGACAGACACACGGACCTTGGGGACAGACACATGGACCTTGGGGACAGACAGATGGACCATGGGGACAGACACATGGGCCATGGGGACAGACACACGGACCTTGGGGACATACATAAGGGTCATGGGGACAGACAGACCATGGGGACAGACACACGGACCTTGGGGACAGACACACAGGCCATGGAGACAGACAGACCATGGGGACAGACACACGGACCTTGGGGACAGACACATGGGCCATGGAGACAGACACACGGACCTTGGGGACAGACAGACAGACCATGGGGACGGACACATGGGCCATGGGGACAGACAGACATACTGTGAGGACAGACAGAGGGACCATGAGGACAGACAGAGGGACCTCCACACACCCAGGGCCCCCACAGCTCTACCACACCGGTATCAGCATCCCCACGGCCCAGTGCCCTCCCAGCATGTCCCAGTACCATTCCAGTGCATCCCAATACATCCAATTCCATACCAGTGTCTCCCAGTCCCATCCCACTGTGGCTCAGTGCCACCTCAGTTCCCAACAATAGTTCCCAGTTCCATGCAAGTGCATCACAACACATCCCAGTGTGATCCTATTGCATCCCAGTGACGCTCCAGTGCACTATGATACATCCCAGTGCATCCCAATATGCCCCAGTTCCATCCCAGTGCAATCCTAGTGCATCCCAGGGAAACCCCAGTACATCCCAGTGCATTCCACTACATCTCAGTTACATCCCAGAGTGTTCCAGTACCATTCCAGTGCATCCCACTACACCCCCGTTTACACCAGTACATCCCAGGGCCATCTCAGTGCATTTCAATGCAAACCAGTGCCAGCCTACGCTGTCCCGATGCTTCTCCAAGCTTTCCAGTTCACCCCAGTTCCATCATCAGAGCACCCCAGTGCCTTCCTGTTGCATTCCAGAGTGTCCCAGTGCCCTTCCAGCACATTCCAGTTCACCCCAGTTCCATCCCAGTGTCATGCTGTTGAATCACAGTGTGTCCCGGTGCACCTCAGTGCAATCCCAGTGTGTTCCAGTGCCATTCCAATGCAGTCCACTCCACTATATCCCAATGCCTCATTTCATCCTGATGCCACACCAGTGCATCCCAGTGCCATCCTACTGCATCCCAGTGCCACTCCAGTGTATTCCAATACAGCCCAGTTCCACCCCAGCATATCCCAGTGCTATTCCAGAGCATATCATTACACTCCAGTTCATACCAGTGCATCCCAGTGACACCCCGCTGCATGTCAGTACCAATCTACTGTGTTCCAGTGGTATTCCAGTGCATCCCAGTACATCCCAGTTACTTTTCAGTCCATTGCAGTACCATTGTATTGCTTCCCAGTCCATCCCAGTGCCATGCTAGTGCATTCCAGTATACCCCAGTTCCACCCAAGTGCATCCCACTGCCATTCCAGTGTGTCTCAATTTGTCTTCGTATCATCCCACTGTATCCCAGTGCATCCCAGTGCTATCCCAGTCCATCCCAGTGCTATCCTAGTCCATCCCCGTGTCACCCTAATGTGTTCCAGTGCCATTCCAATGCATCCCAGCTCCACTCCAGTATATCCCAGTGTATCTCAATGCCACCCAGCTGCATCCCAGCGTTTCCCAGTGCATTTCCAGTGTATTCCAATACAGCCCAGTTCCATCCCAGTATGGTCATCCTAGTGCATTCCAGTGCCACTCCAGGGCCATTCCAAAACAGTTCAGTTCCACCCCAGTATGTCCCAGTGCTATTCCAAAGTATATCATTACACTCCAGTTTGTCCCAGTGCATCCCAATGCCATCCCACGGCATCTCAATGCCATTCTGCTGTGTCCCACTGCCATTCCAGTGCATCCCAGTACAGCCTAGTTCTATCCAGTGCATCCCACTGCCATTCCAGTGCATCTCAATTAATCTCACTACGATCCCACTGTGTCCCGGTGCATCCCAGTGCCATCTTACTGCATCCCAGTGTGACACTGTGCATGTCAATGCAACCCAGCGCCATCCCAGTCCACCCCAGTGCCATCTCAGTATATTCCAGTGCATCTCAATGACACCCCAGTGCATGTCAGTGTATCCCAGTGCCGTCTCAATGCATCCCAGTGGCATCCCAGTGCACCCTAATGCACCTTGGTGCTGTCCCAGAGCATTCCAGAGCATCCCAGTGCCATCCCAGTGTGTCCTCATGCCATTGCAGTGCATCCACATCCACCCCAGTTCCGTCCCAGTCCACTCCAATGCATCCTAATGCAATCCCAGTGCATCCCAGTGCCATCCCAATGCATTCCAGCACCTTCGCAGTGCATCCCAGTGCCCTCTCGGTGCATCCCAGTGCATGCAATGCATCCTGGTGACATTCCAGCATGACCCCACTGAATCCCAGTGCCATCCTAGTGTATTCCAGCACCCTCCCAGTGCATCCCAATGCACCCCATTGGATCTTGATGCCACCCCAATGCGTCCCAGCAACATCCCAGTGCATCCCAGCTCCATCCTCGTGCATTCCAGCACCCTCCCTGTGCATCCCAGTGCCATCCCAGCTCCATTCCAGTGCACCCCAATGCATGCTGGTGCCATTCTGGCACCATCCCGCTGCATCCCAGCTCCATCCTAGTGCATTCCCAGCTCCATCCCACTGCATCCCAGTGCACTCCCATGCATCCTGCTATCACCCCAGTGCACCCCAGCTCCATCCCAGTGCCACCAAATTGCATCCCAGTGCCATGTCAATGCACCTCAGCTCCATCCTAGCGCATTCCACTACCCTCCCAGTGCATCCCAGTGCCATCTCAATGCATCCCAGTGCACCCCAATGCATACTGGTGCCATCCCAGTGCCATCCCAGCTCTACCACAGTGCATCCCAGTGCACCCCAATGCATCCTGGTACCATCCCAGTGCATCCCAGTGCCATCTCAATGCATCCCAATGCCATCTCAATGCATCCCAGTGCCATCTTAGTGCATCCCAGTGCCATCTCAGTGCATCCTGGTGCCATCTCAATGCATCCCAGTGCCACCTCAGTGCATCTTATTGCACCCCAATGTATCCCAGTACCATCTCAATGCATCCTCATGCCATCTCAGTGCATCCCAGCTCCACCCCAGTGCATCCCATTGCACGCCAATGCATCCTGGTGACATCCCAGTGCATCCCAGTGCCATCTCAATGCATCCCAGTGCCACCTCAGTGCATCCCAGTGCACCCCAAAGCATCCTGGTGTCATCCCAGTGCATCCCAGTGCCATCTCAATGCATCACAGTGCCACCTCAGTGCATCCCAGCACCCTCCCCGTGCATCCCAGCGCCAGTCCTGCCCCGCAGCCCTCCCGCGCCCCCGTCACCTTTTGTGTCCTCATCCTCGATGGTGGTGTTGGTGCTATCAGACGACTCCTGCCAGCGGGAGGACGGTGGTGCGGGGGGAGAGATACAAACAGAGAGGGTCAGAATGTGGCCCAGTTGGGGATGGGGAGGGGGGAAAGAGCCCGGCTGGGGCTCGGCAAGACCCCGGCGATGCCGGATGCCGCGGTGGCGGCGGGGGGAGACGGG